GAGACCTAGGGTGAAGTTATCATCTTGTAGAGTTGATTGATTATTGATTGATTGCTTCTCCCATATGCCTATGAAGTAAGCAGTCTAGGATCATATAAATTAAAGTTCAAGGTTTGATTGAGATATTCTTCTTTACTCAACAGACATGATTTCAAACTCTTTGGTCAGTTTTCTGAGTTCCTGGACTCACCCTGATCTTGATCTGGTAAATACTCACTATCTGGTTAACGCTTTCTGGAAGACATTTCATATATTTAATTCAAAATTTGCAGTTCTTTTTAGTGGGAGGGGTGGTCTGAATATCCTGCTCTGTGATTCGTGGAAGTGGAAACTCAACAGAGCTCATTTTCAGTTTTACTTTGGCTCATACTCAGCAACCACCCCTCCCTCTTCCCTGGCTGCAAATTTGGTTCCATCATTCAGAGCTGGAGACCGTGTGGAAGAAACAGCTACACTCAGGCAGTATTGACAGACATAAATAGATAAAAACATTTGGACAGCAATTTAGCCCTATCTGTCAACATTTTACACTATAAATATTTATAGATTTAGAAACCAAAGTCCATACTTTTTTATATTTCCTTAGTTTTAATCTATTGTCCATTTATATTCCAGGACCTCATCCAGGGTACTACATTACATTTAGTTGTCATGTTCCTTAGGCTTCTTTTTTCAGATTTTCTTTGCTTATTATGGACTTGAGAGTTTTGAGGAGTAATGGAGGTATTTTGCAGAATGTCCCCCTACTTAAATTTGTCTGATGTTTTTGTCATGATTAGTTGTGAGTTATGGGATATGGGGATGAAGACCACAGAGATGAAGTACCATTGTCATCACATCATCTCAAGGGTACATACTATTAACATAACCTATCACTGTTGATGTTGATCTTGATCACCTGACTGAGGTATTCATCCAGTTTCTCCACTGAAAACTTACTCGTTTTTCCTGTTTATGTATTGTAGTCTTTGGTAGGAAGTCCAAAGTGTACTATTTTTAAGAGGTAGGTTAAGAGGTTATGCTCTTCCTGCTTGATATTAGAATATTTACATAAAGTATTTGGAATTCTTGTGTGGGGGATATTTGTCTCGTCTCTCTCATTTATTCAGTTATTCACCCATTATTTATATCAGTATGGACTCATGGGTATTCATTTATATTTTTGTTTATAATCCACTAAATTGTCTTAGTTCAGTCTGTTATAACAAATTAACACAGACTGAGCGGTTTAAACGACAAACATTTATGTTCACAGTTCTGGAGGCTGGAAGTCCAAGATGAGAGAGTCAGCATAGTCAAGATCTTGGTAAAGGTCCTCTTCCTGCTTCACATCTTCACACAGCCTTTTCTTGGTGCATGCACGTGGAGAGAGAGATTTTGTGTCACTTCCCCCTTTTAAAAGGCACTAATTCAATCAAGGGGGCTCCACTCTAATGGCCCAATCCAGCCTTAATTATAACTCAATTGCCTCATCTCCAAAATTCATCAGATTGGGAATTAAGATTTCAAAATATGAATTTTAAGAACACAAACATACAGTCTTTAGCAAATATTTAATTGGTTTTATAGCTCAGATTGCTCCAGCTTTGGCCACTGGGAACTCTTTGATTTGACTCTAGTATCATTTAGATATATGTCTATCATTGAGGTTTTGGAGCACTTCCTCACTTTCTGGCTCTACAAGATGGTGCAGCTCATTTTGTATATTCTCTACCCTAGTCTTAGAATCATCCATTTCTCCAGTGAATCCTGGTTCCTTTTATTAGAGAATGGTGTTAGAAACCAAGATCTCCTTATTGGAGAGATCTCCCTATTGTTGGTTCCTGGCTTTCTCAGCTGACAGTGGAAGGAGCTACATGTGTGTATACCAACCATGTACACATATATAAAATCTCACTCTTTTTATCTGTACATATATCAATAAATATTTATATATCTATAGTATAGCCACATATAATATATAATCAATATTTGTAGATCTATATATAAATATAGATCTAAAAATATTTCTATGTATCCAGGGGGAGAAGATTTTCATTTTTTAAAAGAATGTGTGTGATGTAAGTTGTTTAAATATATTTTAAATCAGTAGTTTGCACAGCAAAGAGATAATTTCAAAGACAATACACATATAATAATTAAGAGAAAGGGACAGAAGAAATATGAGAAAGTGTTTGCAACCAATACAGATATATTGATTAATGTCCTTTTTATATAGAGAGCTCTATCAAATTTATAAGAAAATCACTAAATCCTTATTAGTTCAGTGGATGGAGAATGTGTCAAACTGTTTACACAACAGTATAATTAGGATGTAATAGGTTCAAATTATAATTGGTGAGAAAATGAAGAAAAATTCAACTTCACTAGGAAATGAGTGAAAAATAAATTTACAATGATATAATTGACTGATTGTCATGATACTGCAATTTGTATAAAGAAGTAAAATCTAATTTAGTGACTATCAGCATGGAAGAGACAAAAAGGCAATTTCATAGTTTGCTATTTCAATGCAATTTATTATCATCTTCATTGCAAATCACTTTGGCTGAGATGTCTTGATAGGTCTCATACTCTTTGACATGGCAATTCTTGTCTGGAAGATTTCCAAAACACAGAAAAGGCTAAAATGTTTTAAATTATATTATGTACAATGGTGAATTTCTTAAGGTTATCTTTTTGATCAGGGTAATAAATGAAAAACTGCATAAAGTACATAATATCAAGGACAAAGAAAAGATCCTTAAAGCAACAAGAAAAAAAAAGAAAGATATTCCCTACAGGATCAGATTGACAAGTAGATTCTCAAGAGCAATAATGAAAGACTACCAAGGAAAAATACCTCAAAATGTTGAAAGAAAACAAGTGTTCGCCCAGAATTATGTATCCATCAAAAAAATCTTTCATGAATGGGGAATAAAGAAAGATATTTATTCACAAATAAACAAAAACTGGAAAAGTTCACAGTTTAGTGATGTCCTCTAGAAGACATCTAATGAATGTACTTGGGAAAGAAGGAAAATAATCCCAAAGGACGTTTAAGTTGCAAGAAAAAATGGCAAACACATAAATGGTTAAACACAGGTAAAACCAAACTGAAACTAACATGATAACTTATTCTTAATGTTTCAGATTTAAAAAAGACTGGTGCAAGGGTGAGGTGGTGTACCAACAACATGACCAACAATAATGTACAACTGTAATTTCACAAGGTTGTTAACTATCATAATCTTAATAAAAAAATGTGAAAAAAAAAGACTGGTGAAATATTTGGTGACTATTGTTTGGGATGGGAAAGAAACTCAAGATAGATGTGTTTTGTTAGCAATAGTTTAGTTTTGGGGCTAAGTGGTGGGGTCATGGACTATTAAATACTATTAAACTCAAACAAATATACAAACAAAAAGTAAAATATGAAAAATGAATCAAAATGAAATAAAATGGGGACTGACCGCGTGGGACAGTGGTTAAGTCTGGCGTGCTCCACTTTGGTGGCCTGGGTTCGTGGGTTCATATCCCAGGCACAGACCTACAGCACTCATCAAGCTGTGCTGTAGTGGCAACCCACATACAAAATAGAGGAAGTTTGGCACAGATGTTAGCTCAGGGCTAATCTTCCTCAAGACAAAAAAAAAAGAGGAAGGTTGGTAACAGATATTAGCTCAGAGCGAAGTTTCCTTGCCAAGAAGAAGAAAAAAGAAAAGAAAAGCTATATATGTGTGGAGCAATATAACACATTATGAATGAAGGATTATGGTTCTAATTCTATGACATGAGGTCCTAAAGGAAAGAAAAAAAGAAAAAAGGAAGGATTGATGGAAGGAAGGAAGAAACAAACAAATGAATGAAGGAAGAAAGGAAGGGAGAAACTCTGAATTATATTGTTTTTGGAACAACTGCATGGTTAATAAAATAGGTCAATATCAGACACATTTAAAAGTAGAGGAGTTATTAAATATACAACAGTCTATATACTTAGTGGAATATAAAAGAACTTGAAAATTATGTTTTGAAATATGGAAAGGCATTTATTCATAATGTTAGAATGCTGGATACAATATTGCACATAAATATGATTATAATTATGTATAAAAATGCATACCAAAGGTCTTACCAGAACAAAATTTGGAGAAAAATGAAACTAAATGTTAGCTATTTCATTGAGAGAGAGAATCTTTTTTTTGTATTTTTCAAAATCTCTAAGATGAAAACTTTTGTCAATTAGGCAAAAGATGTCTCTTACTTTGTACTGTACAGAAATCAATCACGTTTTCAAATTTTTTGCCAGGACAAGATCTTCCAGACTTATCCTTTGGAGCCAGCAGTAAGACCCAAGATGGGTAACAAGCAGGACTCCTACACTCCCCTAGAATGAATAAAATTCTCTGCTATTTGCCACATACCAGAAAATGCTTCACAGAGCTTGGGGAAGATGTCTGTCAGCCTGGACTTTAGCCCCACAAGCTGACTTCCTCTCTTAGACCCCTTCAGCTGCATCTGCTTTGTCTCTAAGGCCCTCTTCAGCCAGAGCACATCTTAAACCCACCTTCCACTCACCCCCTCCATGAGTCTCAAGCCTATGTCCTTCTTCCTTCAGAGACCCCGATTTTGCACTTTGCATCAAAACTTCATCCCCAATTTCATACCCACAGGAATCCATGTAAGAATTCAGGGCATAAACAGTTTTCCCAATGCTAAGAATTTTGTTAACATTTCACAAACAAAAAGAATAATATATCTGCATGTCTGTAACCATACTACCTGGATTGAAATAGCTATCTGATGCATTTTTTTCTGCCTCTGAGAAAGACAAAATATGAACCAAAGCAAGCAAATACTTTGCTGCTATATTTTTTGTGCATTTCCAATAAAGGAGGCTTTTCAAGATAGCTTGCCGTGTCTGACATTATGAGCAACCGAAATTTTTCCTTAATGTCTGTTATTGAGGTGTCTTTCTGTAATTCCATCCTGTTTCCCAATTATCCTCTGCCTGTTCTCTGCTACCTGAGATGTTGTAAATTTTTCTGCAACATGTTTTTTAGAGATGCTTTTAATTCCTTGTTCTTTAGGCTGTAGACAAGGGGATTCACCAGGGGAGTGATCACACAGTACTGCATGGAAAAAACCAACTCACATGGGGAACCTGAGATCGGCATGAGACAACGAAGCAAGCCTGAGCCATAAAATAAGGTTACTGCAGTGAGGTGGGAGGAGCAGGTAGAGAAGGCCTTGCTTCTGCCTAAGGTGGAGCTGATACTCAGGATGGTGGAGATAATGCGAGCATAAGAGAAAACCAGGAGAAAAGTCCCAAAGGCATGCAGGAGCACAGAGAAGAGAAAGGCCTCAAAATTATTAGAGCTATTGGAACAGGATGGAGGGAATAGAGAAGGTATCTCACAAATGAAGTTGGAGATGACTTGAGTCTCACAGAAGTCCAAATTCCAAGCTAGGAGGGTGTTGATGAAACCATCTAAAAAGGCCAGGCCCCAAGATCCCCATACCAGTCCCACACACAGCTCATTGCTCATCATCTGACCATAGAGTAGAGGGTAGCAGATGGCAGCATAGCGGTCATAAGCCATCACTGCAAGGAGGCACAGCTCTCTTCCCCCAGAGTCAAACACAAAGAAGGCCTGGGTCAAACAGTCCTCCACTGAGATGGTTTTCTTCTCAGACAAGATGTTCTCTAGCATCTTGGGGACAGTGACTGAAGAGCAACAGAGATCCAGGAAGGAGAAGTGACTCAAGAAGAAGTACGTGGGGGCGTGAAGGTGAGAATTGGCCCTGATAAACAGGATCATCAATAGATTCCCAGACAGAGCGAAGAGGCAAATTGCCAGAAAAAGCACAAAGAGTAGGACCTGGATGTGATGATCAACAGGCAGCCCAAGAAGGAAGAGCTCAATGACGGTGCTGTGGTTTCCCAAGGCCATCTAAAGATGATAATCCTTTGGAAGAAAACAGAAAGAGGAATGAAGCATCAACTGTCTCTTCTTTGGGTACAACCCAGAGTTTCCACCCATTCTATCACATACTTTTTTTCTTCAGCTTCCCATTATTGCCATAGTTGTCTCATAACTCTCATGGAGTCCGCTGAAGAATGCCCTTCCCTATGTTGATTTCCTGGTGCACAAGTCCTGAACCTTCTGAGCTCTTTCCATTTGTTGCTCTTTCCTTACAAATAACTCTAGAGAAATTCGCATAATTTTTCAGATCTGACTCTTGAATAATGTTGTGTCTATTTAAACTGGGTCTTTGATTTTGAATATTCTGGTCAAGAGCTCACTTTCGGCAGATGTTCTAATCTTTCTTGTTCTTCTCAGTTTCAGCCTTCGCCTCCCATTCAAAACACTGTAATAGTTCATCACTACTTAATTATATATTCTTTGTGTTACCTTTTTCCTTTTTATTATTATCTTTCATATATTTGGAACGTTTAATCTTAGAAACAACTTTGAAAGTTGTGTGTGTGTTAGGGACTTGAAATAGGGAGGAAATTGCTAAACCTACATTTTAAAGTTAAAAAACAAAGCTAAAGAAATAATAAAGGTAAAACAAAGCTGAATTGCTCATCAAGGGAACCATTAAAAAAGAGAAAAGGTGGAGCCAGCCTGGTGGCATAGCAGTTAAGTTCCTGTGCTCTGCTTCAGAGGCCCAGAGTCGCTGGTTCAGATGATGGGCTTGGACCTATGCACCGCTTACCAAGCCGTGCTGTGGCAGGCATCCCACATATAGTGTAGAGGAAGATGGGCACAGATGTTCGCTTAGGGCCAATTTTCCTCAGCAAAAAGAGGACTGGCAGCAAATGTTAGCTCAGGGCTAATCTTTCTCAAAAAAAAAAAAAAACTGAGAAAGAGAAAGCAAGCTAAAGACTGGGAGAAAATGTCAAATGAAGTACACACTTATAGAACAAATCCCTATGAATCAACAATAAATATATCAATGACAATAAACATTATAATAGTAAAAATGACAAATAATCCAATACAAAAGTGGACAAAAGAATAGAACAAGGCCTTCATAAAGGAAAGTATCAGAATGGCTAGGCTTATAAAAAGTTGTATAACATCATCAGTCATCAGAGAAATGTAAAATAAAACCACAATAAGATACCACTAAACACTCATCAGAAGAGCTAAATTGCCAACTGTTAGAAAAAGTGTGGAACAACTGCAACTTTTCTTGTGGGAATATAAGATAGTATAATCAGTTTGGAAAGTTGGATAGTTTCTTACAACTACTATGAGTAGACATACACTTACTCTATGACCCAGCAATTCTACTCTTAGAAAAATGAACGCATATGTTGGCAAAAAGACTTGTGCAAGAATGTTCGTGGCACCTTTTTTCCCTAATTACCATAAGCAGGAAAAAAAGAACCCAAATGAACTTCAAAGACAAAAGATAAACAATGGATTAAAAAAAGCAGTGGTATATTCATACAATGGAATTCTATTTAGTGAGAAACAAACAATTGATACAAGCAACAAAATGGATAAATAATAATAAAAACAATTATGCATGTACATTCATTAAAATGCAAAAATTTGAAAATTTGAAGAATGTATACACCATTGTAACATCATACTGATGAAGATACAGAACATTTCCATCATGCCAGAAAGATCTCTTCATGCTCCTTTTCAGTCATCTCCCCATCAGATGAAATCACTATTCTGATTTTCATTACCATACATTTGTTTTTTTCATTCTGGAAATCCATAAACATGGAATCACATAAACTGTGAAATATAATGACATCTATCATTTCTTTGGTGCCATTTATGTTCTAGGTATTGCTAAATATTTTACTTCCTCCCCCACCCCCCATTTATTTATCACAACAAAAACTAGGAGGGTTGCATTGTCCTGATTTTTACAATGAGGAAACTGAAGCTAAAAAATCTTGTGAAAACTTGCCTGTACTGACAGAGGAAAGGAGAGGATAAGCCTTACATCCACATATAACTACAATATCTGTGATTTTATTTAAGCCTTGGCTACCTGATTCCCATGTTCTTTAGCATACCTGCTTCTCTCCACTGTGTGTCCTATTTCAGTAATGTATTCTCTGGACTTTTTTGTGCCCTCACTTAGATATATATCTTAATTTGGCATTTAGTAGTAGGTGTTTTTCTTTTCTTTTCTTTTCTTTCTCATTTAAACTGTGTGTTCCTTGAGGATAGGTATTAAGCTCTTTATTACTTTGAATACTCTGAACACACATGGCAGCTCGAGGCACATGATGAGTCCTTAATCAAGATTTGTTAAATGTAGAAAGAATAGGAAGGATGAAATCAGACCGACTATGTAGAGCCTCTCCTTGAGGAATATCCCGAACTTTAATTCCAGTTTCAAAAGCAAACCAACCAGGAAGGAGACTGGAAAGGAAAATAAATGCGGAGGAGTGTGGAGCTCCTCTTCTAGCTGTAAAGAGTTGGAAGAAGATTTATCTGATAACTAATCAGTGCCTACAGAAGCCTCATCCACAGGGGGCAGATCACGCATATTAGGTCATTTTTATCCACAGCAGGAAGGCTGCTTAAAACCATAACTTTCAACCATCTATCTATTCACTCATTCATCTGTATGTCTGTTAATTAATTATCCATCTAATTCTAAATTTATCCACTCCATCATCCATCCTGTGTCTATTCAGTCATCTATTCATCTATCCATCTATCCACCCATACTTTCATTCATTCATTTATTCCCTCAGTAATTAACAGATATGTATAGATTACATTGTGTACAGTGTTGTGCTTAAAATAGATTGATTGACAGCCTGGCATAAACCTCTGATGAACTATTGATTGAATGCACTTATTTGTCTTAGATTTCAAATAATACTCTCCCAATATCCAGGACTAAATTCTCTTGCTAGCCTTTTTTTTCATACCAAACTTGAAATCTGACTCATCGTTATACACTTAAACTCTTCCCCTTCAAGAGCCCTCTTGCCTGAAAAGGCACTTCTTGCAGTAATCCTACCTTGCCCACTGAAGTTCTGAATCAGCTGTGAATCCTTTGGCATTCACCTGACATGAAATGGTCTGATGATGGGTCTATTACCCATAGGACTCAAAATAACAAGTTCTATTTCTGCTGGAATGACCCATGAATTAGTCCTTGGTCTTTCTGGATTTCTTCACTGATGCTATAGTATTTAATTAACATCTTCCCATATTCCATGCCCTTCTTGGTTATCAGATCCAAGTTACCTCTCAATTGTGTCCAGTTGGTAATGTGCAGTCTCGGCTAGTGACCCAGGTTAACTCAGAGTCTGCAGAAGAAAGCTCAAACTCTCTGCAGAATAAAATCAAATGGAAAAGTCAGTTTTAGAGTGTTTTTATCATCTCTGTGCTTGTGAAATCCTGTTGAAATAAACATTCTCTCTGACTTCTACATTAGTGAATTAAATCTATTCAATTCAATTAAAAAACTTCTAAGCATTTTCAATTTGCTGTCTAACTTTGAATTGATAATTGCTTCAATTCTACCACATGGACATTCAGTGTACATCCAACACAACCCATCAGCAAAGTAGTAGAAGTCCATATTGTGGGATTCCAGACTTTCTCACCCCAATCCCCATCAGAGATCCTCTGGTGACAAAATGAGGACAAGGCGTCTTTTAACTGTATAGTGAAAGATAAACACAAATTCCAAATTCTGCTCAGTTACCTTGAAAGAGGGAACACAGTGGATTTAATTCACACTGACTTCTGAATGACTATTTACAAAATTCAGGAAATTCTTCTTCTTACAGAAGAAGAGTGGTAGGTCCAAAATTGGAGCCCAGGGCTTTCCTCTCAATATAATACTTGTTTTGCCAATTTGCCAGGAATAGCTCTGCTTGAGCACTTCTCAGACAGTCACTTATTGGTATCTTGTCCACGTTTTTTCAGATTCTGTCTTAAAGAAAAATAGAGCAGGAGGTTGATTTTTTTGTCATTTTAAGAAAAATATTTAATTCATTTTAAGAAAAAAATCAAATGATTTATGGTTGGAACTTCACTCTTGGGAATTCACATTTCTTAAAATAATTTGAGTCTAAAAAATTTAAAATTCAGTCAGCTCTGGGAGACATAGCACATTGTATTTATAAATTATTAAATCATTTAGTTCTAATAATCTTATCTTATTATTTCCAAACATTTAGGCAGCTGAGGACTACTTCATGTCTAACACTTTATCAGCCCAGAGTAATTACACAGAAAATATTAGTAATTTGAAGAAATGTCTGGGAAGATGGAGAAATGAAGATAGGAGGAACAGTAGGGGATCTAAGACTGGAAGACAGATCTTGTATGCTCCTGGTATCCTGGAAGGCACCCGGAATGGGGAGAAATAATGTGTTTAAAAGTTAGACTTCACTTCCCTTAGTATATTTTCCCAAAATTCTTTTGTCTTTTCCTCCTTTTGCTTTTACTACCTACATTATTGGCAGCCAGAATTAACAGGGAGGCAAATAAGAGCAAAAAAAATGAACTCTCTTCTCTAGCATATGCGATTAGACTTTTAGAAGAGGAAGTGGATTCTAGGCCTCCAGGAAATCCCTGTCTACTCTGATGTGTTTCCCCCATACCTCTCCAAAATAGGAACCTCTCAGCTCCCTGTTTTGGCTTCCCTTAAACCTGAAATTTCCAGATTAATGCAAATTTTGTAGCAAGAATTCAAGAAATCAACAAAACTGATTTTCAGCAATAATCTGGAAGTATAGAGAGGTATTCCTGAGTAGATAGAAAGAGAAGCTGAAGACAAAACCTTTGGTAGAAAAAAATCCTTAAAGCCCTGATGTAATTGGTGCTTAGAGTCCAGAGCTCAGCTCCAGCGCAAGGAAATAGTGATGAAAGGGTGTAGATGAGAAGACTGGTCTCAGAGAGCCTGACGTAGAAGGCCAGATGAGAAGAGAAACATAACCTGGAAATCT